AGTTATGGAGGACCCCCTTTAATCACATAAAATAACATGTAAAAAGGTTTGCAAATCACTTCCTGCTCTATTATATGTCACAGTGCTATGTGGTGTGCTTTATCTCTGTACTACTTTAACTGAGAGGGAATTCGTCCCCGAAGCAGCAAGAAAACCAGCTATTGCTCTTGACAGCTCTACACTGGAAAGGGCATGTACCAGGTCAACTCCTAAGTGTCATTTGTCTTACTACATGTAGTAACCAGAAATGAGACTACATCTACCACTACATTTGAATCACATCCAATTACCTCCTGGGGGCAGTGTTTTAGGTGAGACAAACCTTGTTAGACCTGTAGGATTGGAGCAGTTGCATACACGGTGCTCTGTTCTAGGTTGTGCTGGTTTTCATTTAGTAGATAAGCAATTAGCTTATATTATAAGCAACATGTGCAGACACAGTCTTTTGTAAGGAAATTTGCCTGACAAAAGGCCCTACACATACAGTAATTACCAACATCTTACCGTTGTGTAGACCTGCTTATGCTTATGCACTAGTGAAAACCAGCCTTAATGGACCACTTTCCTGTTATCCCATTTCAATATTTTTGTTATAGTTCAAGTTCAATGTTATTTAGCTCTTATTAACAGAGCAGGAGGTCTGCATGGGAGAATCTTGACCGAGGCTGTGAGTACAGACCGAACACAGTGAGGTCTGTACACACTACCAAGGTCAAGATTCTCCCATATAGACCGACTAAGCTTGGTTAATAAGATGTTTATTATATGGCAAACAAGAACAATTTAATTGGTTTAATGTAACTGGTTTGTACTAACTGACATTTTGCTTGCGAATGGCGATGAGCTGAATTTAATTCTGCCGGAGTTTGCTCGTCCTCTTTACTTTTTTTTTTCTCATCAAAGTTTTTGGCACTTCCCTAAATAAATATTGTTAGAAGAAAATAGTCAATGATTTTGCATTTTAGCTTGCAACCTTTTCACTGCAAAACATTAGCAGTCTAGAATGCAGTCTCGATGGGAAAATCTAGACCGCTTTCAATATTGATTTCAGCCAATCAAATTTGTGAATTTGGTAGTTCCCAGTCTTTGTGAGACAGAGCCATATAATAATAAATAATAATAATAATAATAATAATAATAATAATAATAACAATAATAATAATAATTTTAATATTTATCCAGAGAGCCCACTCACCTTGGCGATTTTCAGTGGGGCCCTGCAAATCATAATAAAAATTAAAAAGAAAAGAGATTAAAAAAAATTGATATTACAATATAGTAATAATATATAATAACTTCTCTAACTAAAAAATACACCCCAAAATAACAAATGTAAAGCATCTATTTAACAGATGCTCCTGACAATTACAGTAGGTCATTTACAGTACGTCTAATATTGGAAGGTGTGTGTCATATTTCACGAGGAATTAAGAGACAATTTTGATGCAAAACCACTACTGGAGAATGAGACTCAGTTACCTGTCCATAAATTTGGGATTTTCTAAACATCAAATACAATCCTTTCAATTAGTGGTTTATTATGTTTTTCCTACATTACATTGTACCTTTGGAGGTGCATGTTCATTGTTTTCATTGTCCAATGGTGGAGGTGGGACACTCACTGAGTCCACGATGGGATTCACGTTTCTAGATGACTCCTCTAATTCATCACACTCAACATCCTCTGAAAGTCATTAATTTATTTCACAGTAAAATATTAAATAAAAAGAGCTACAAGTAATTGTTATCATATAAAAAATCTGTTAAAAAAAAACCTAATTTAAGTCCTCGTCAGTGATTAGTGTAGATTTAACCAAACCCAAAAGCAGAGCTCCTGATCACAAGTTAACCTGACTAGAGCCTGCATCCAATCAAAAACCGGTAACTGAACAGCAGTCAACTTCAGAAAAAATAACATGCCCTCTATGAGTTCTAAACTTGAGCCCAAGATGTGATCATGTGATACTGGTCAGTGGATACCTTTTCTTGGCAGGTGTCAATTGACCATAACATGGATGTCCAATATCAAAGATGTAGGCTGTAAACCAAGGCTGCATGTCTCAGTCATTTTCCAGTCTCCAGTCTCTCATCAGCCGAAAACAATTATGAGAAATCGAATTGCAAATGGTAAGCACCATTTTATTCGGTTGAGCCTTTACCATTATTCAAAGGTCATTCCAACAGGTTCATTCTGACAAATGGTAAGCACCCATGGTCACCTCCAGCCTCACTTTCATTCATGGGTCAGGTCACGGAGCACACAACTGTAAAATGCCCTATTGTGGGGTTTTGACTTGCTTACTATGTCGAGAAATTTTTGCATGCCAAACATTGCCATGGCAATTTTGTATGTGAATTAAAAATTAATGCTGAAAATTATAGTAATTTGTCACCCATGATATTACCTGGCAAACTTGTACTGTTTAAATCAGACCTAAATCAACCCCAACAAAGCATTCAGTCAAGCTTTACCAGTGTTCCAGATAAGAGACGGGTCTCGGGTCAAACACCCGACGGCAACCGCTACCTGACCTGACACTAACGAAAAGAAAATCAGCTAAAGTACTCATATAAATTAAAGTACTATAATTATGAAAGAAAACAAAAGTAAATAAAAGAGTGAAGTTTCTAATGAAAAACGATTGAAAAAAAAAATTACTGTTATACAAGATATCAAGGGAAAGAAGTTTGAAAAAACGACTCAACAAAATTCCAAAGGCGACTTGACTTGCAAATCATTTGGTCCTCTGTTAATTTAGCAAATAAAAGAGAACGTGCCTCAAAAATAAAAATTGCGTTGCTGTGGCATTGTTAATTTCCATAGTTGTTAGTTCAGGATAAAATAAATACAGTTCGATGATCTCACTAATGCTCAAGAAACTGAGAATTATTCATCTGATTCATTTGTGGCGGTTCTGTGTCGTGTGATCTTCTCCTCGGTTACCTAGCACATGATCAATTTTTTCCCCGATTGAATTTCATTTCTTTGTAAACAAGATTCCAAAACGTTACACGAACAGCAGCCGGACTCCAACAGGCTGACCATCATTGAAAATTTTGGAGAGAATTTGTTGTTTAATCCTTAGAACTACTGTAAATAATCTGCCAAAAATCGGGTCTGTAAAAAGCCAGTATAAGTTTTTGTTTTTGTCTGTACAAGGTCATTTTCTGAAGTCATGCCTGACTAATCATGGAAGCCTGATAATATTTATTGTCGTTTTATGATACTTTTCATGAATTAAACAAGTGATACCTTTCAACTTTCTCGATATTGATGAGTTAATTTTAAAGTAAAGGAAGAGAGGAAAAATTATTCTTCTCTTAGAGTTCTGCAGTCTTCTGCTCGCATTATCGCTTACGCACTTTGGCGGGAATGTCAAATCCAAATATATTTTCATGTGAAAACCGAGCCGTGACGGCCGATGTGACGGCCCAAACATGCAAACCTGGCACCGGGAAATCATTTGCCTCAAAATAAGAGCGAACAAAACAGCAATATTTGTTCAGTGTCTGGCAAAAACGATCCAAGGATGGTGTAGACCACCTGGGGTAAGTTTGTTCTGCAACAATGTTTTTACAGTTGAACTTATTTCACTTCAAAATGGCCTGAGTTCATTCATTCACTCGATTTTTGTTTCTGCTGCTACAGTAACCGATCCGATATAAATACGTTCTTTTCACATGAACTGAAAAAGGAAAATATCGTAATATAATATAAGCGAAATATTTCGGCCCTCTTTTGCAAAAATAATATTGTTGAATGATGGAATGGTCATAGTGATCATATGCGGTGTGAAGAACAGGCTCCTGTGAATGTTGAAGAAGCAGATTTACATCAGTTAATTGAAGCAGAAAGTGCGTTTGGACTTCCGAAGGACTTAGATGACTCAGATGACAGTGGAGTGGATTCTGACTAGTTTACACTACAGTCCAAACTGTTGCATGCAAAAATAAGCTGCTAGTGTTTGATGTAAACACAAATGCCACATTTGGTTGTTCATTTTTGCTATGTATTTTTCAGAATGTATACAAACTGTATTAAACATGGCCCATAGTACCAGAAAGCATTCTGAGGTATCAAATGTCAAACATTTTAAGACTTCCGAAAGTAAATCCTTTATCTGTTTGCCCAACAACCCCCCACCCCCAACCCACCCCCTTAGCTTTACGTAGTGCTGCAGCTGCGGTTAGCCAGGTAGACCCACTTTGTGCGACACCCCTGAAAAATTACATGACCCCTTGCCAAAAAAAAATTAACTGGAACACTGCTTTACATGTACTTTTGCATACATCCATCGATAAAACACGTCTGTGCCTTCTGTCAACTCTTTCCAAGTTGACAGGGAAAAAAATTTACAGAAATGTGCTTCTTAAATTATAAACAAGGCTGTACATGAAATCTAACAAACCTACATTAACACATAAGCTTAACTCACCTTTTCTCAGTCAAATGAATCTTTATAATTGTTTACCAAAATATAACATAATAAGAATTATACCAGAAAGTAGTGCGACTTCGTTGTTCTCGCGTCCTCTCAATTCTCTCTTTTGTATTCAGGCAAATTACGTTCACGCGCTCGTGGTATGTTTGTGGTTTACGTCTCTCACCTTGGCGTAGTTGTATTCAGGTGTATTGCAGCGTGTTTCTTGTTGAGTTTTTCTGCTTGGCCCCATCTCGCCACTTCACCAACCACTTCAGGAAAAGTAGGTTGGGGCATTTCCGCTGCTTTCTGCGATGCAAGTGGAGAGGACAGCAATTAAGGATTATTAGTCCACGAAGGAATTCATTAGAAGAAGAGAGAGGTTTGTCAGATCAATTTGCCCGCGACTTTGCCCGCCATTTTTGATCTTGCCATGATAAAACCGCTGACGTCAGGCTCACAACGTAATCTTCAGGCCCAACCTCGTTCCCAGGGTCCTCTCAGTGGGGGCAACCCCGGCAACCCTAAAATCTGGAAACCGGGGGTGGTTTCCATTATGCCAAAGATTCCGGAAATTTCGGTCGGAATTCAAATAGAAAGGTCCGTGTCGGTTTCTTCCGACCGGAATGTTCGGGATCACCTCTGGAGGTGGTCCACTTATTTCGGTTGGAATATTCCGACCGAAATTCGCCGTTCCATTTTTGACAAACCGGCTCTTTGCCCTAATTAGGGAATTCGGTAAAGGAATGAAAAATGGCAAGAGCCATTACTATTGGTTGGCGCGGTCTAATCGGAAGATGTCGTTCCATTTTCCTCAGGTATTCCCACTGATCTCTGACCGGTTGGTTTGGCATAATGGAAAGCACCCCGGAATTCGGAATCCGGAAACCGGAAACTAGAAACCAGAAACCGGAAACCGGGATACGGAATCCCCAGATCAAAGAAAACAAGTTCTTCAAATGCGAGAAAATTATTTTGCATAGCTTTTGCCTGTAAAAGAAATAACAGGCCAAGTAAAAAAGACCTCAAACTTAACCTTTTTTGAAACAAAAATTCCCCATCTGTTGAAATTCTTGCAAGCGTTATTTCGAGTGAGAGCTACATGAGAATCTAAACAAAGTGCGTCGTAGTATGATTCCAAGCACCCTGAGAGCGTCTAAAATAAACTTGCTGGCAATTTCAATTTTGTTTAGCGAGAACAGGGTATCTGTCAGTGGCAACCCCCTTGACATTGACGGTCACGCTACCCACTTTCGATGTTCAAAGGTTAACCTGGCTCGTCTAAATAAGTTTTTTTCCCAACAGATACGAGACTAATTCCAGATCAACACTTTTTCAACACTGATACTGTTACAAATCACCACTACATATTCTTGCCGGCCATCGTATTAAAACAATTTATAGAAATGAAGCACACTTACTTCCGTCTGCTTCTCCCTTGCGAACGGATCGGACCGCATGTTGTTAAAAGATGTTAAAAGACTGCCAGAAACTCACCGCAATAGCTTGTTGCTATTGTGCCACTCACTAGTCTTCTCAGAGAAATTTGATCTGGACAAGAACCGCGCGCTCTCAACAGGGCCAGGTTGAACAAAAGATGGATAAGGACCTGTTTACAAGGAGGGAGGGCTACCCTAGCAAGCGGGTTACTCACAAAGTTTCTCTTTTTTTCTTCGTCGTGTTTACAAGGCAGCTAGGGTTACCCGGGTAGGCGGGTTACCCTACCTGCTTGCTAGGGGTACGAGAAGGCACTCGCTCACATGCCAACGCGAAAAGACACTAGACACTCGAGCCTGCTCAGACACTAGAGACAGATACAAGAGCCTGCTCGCAGGCTATGGGCAACTCTATCCACCCGAAAAATCACTAACCCTGACTGGATAGTGATTTACCCAATGGATAGCTTTATCCAGCTTTTGAACAACCGGGCCAGATATATAGCTGGTTTTCACTTGACGTCACTAAAATTCAAACTACAAAACTATTGATCTTCCTGAGATTTTACTTTAATGATGTATAAGAGCAGCTGAAAACT